CCCCAAAACCCCAAAACCCCTTAATGATAGATTTATATTTAAAATGAAATTAAAAAAATAGAATTTTAACTTTTATTAATAAGTTTAATGATATATTTATTATATCATTATATTGACTGTGATAATCTTTGAATAAATCATTCAAGGGAGCTTAAAGAGGATATCTCTTATTTAAACTGATTACTTACTTCTCTAAACATCAAATAGTCTGTAGATTTTTTCCCCCTCTGCTTAATCTACTCTTATATTTATTAAACTATTATTCTTGTCTTCATGATCATTATGAATATACTTTGAATCAATTACTTAAGTGACTTAGTAATTTTAAAGATTAATCAATTTAATACTCTAGTTGTCTTTCACAAAAGCAAAAGGATTAAGTATAAAGTCATAGCCTTACACAGGAAATATGTGTGGGTTATAATATAATTCAATATTGCGAATTATCTATCTTTTATCAACGTCAATTATTGTCAACAGTTAAGCATCAGTTATTGCAATAGTATAAGAATTTACTCTCACTATTGAAGTTATAGAAACTTTTTTTTTTTTTATCAATTTCTTCTTGTCAAAATTGAATTAGTAATTACATTATCCCATTTTTATAAATTTGCAAAGAAATAAAAATTGATCACCTAAAACAAAAGTAAATTCATTTTACATCGTTTTAGTCATACATATTAATCTTACTGAGTTTATCTAAGTCATTTCAAAGTCTTAAGAATATTCTATATTTGACAAACTCAAAAGTTAGATTTAATGTTTCTTTAATCCACAAATAAAAATATCATCATCAAGTTTCGCCAATGATGAAACATAAGATTTAGTCTGATAAACTTACTTTGATACTTCAATTTAGTTATTTTCTTATTTACTTATCACATTTATTATTTTGTCAAATGCAATAAACAATTAATTATTTTGCTTATGAAGTAATTAAGCTTTCATATTTAACTTTTTCATTATCTTTAAATCTTAATCGAAAATTCTACAATTTTGAAATGGGTAATTACACTTAGCAGTAATAATCTAATCATTTAAAATCTCTATTTTATCAAAAAGTCTTTTTTCTGGACCTTCTTCTTCAAATGAATTTAAGACTTAGCAATTACTTTCAAGTTTATCTAAATCTATAATTTACTTCAATTCCTGTCTTAATGGTATTGGATCATCACTCTTTTGCAATCTATTAGAATCAGTAATATTATTTATGATCTTACAAGCAGATTAATTAGACCAGCTTTCGAATTATGTTATCAATATCCTTGCCAGTCAACTCGTTTATGATATTAATGATCTTTTGATTTCTTTAACTCTAATTAGTATCTATGAATGAGGATAAATAAACTATTTTCTCTTAGGAT